AATCGTTATCAACTTACCGAGCATTGACATGATTACATTTATATACCAATTTCACCATTTTATATTTCAATTTATCATTCTCTGATCGACACAGTCGGCAGTTGTTTGACATTTAGGACAACAATCAATATTACATGATTAGGATTAGAACAATCACATTCTAATTTTGAACAATTAGTAACGCTGAAGAACAGGAACATTGAGAACATGAATCAATTTCTGATTCCCATGTTTCATTATGTGAACGTCTTTGGCCGAGATAGACACAGTCTTGCGAACAGGAAGACGATGATGATGATGAAGACAACGAAGATAGTGATTGTAATTGTGATTGGGATGACGACGAAATAGTTGATGGACAATCACATCTATAACTGCCTTCGGTATTAACACAAATTGTGTTTTCATCACAAGTATCTATTCCTTCATTGCATTCATCCAAATCTGGTTAAAAGTAAAAATTTGGTAAAAAATTGGTTAACCAAAAATTAATACAAATGTATAAATAAAGACAAGACAAATGTCTAGACTTTACGGCGTCAAAAGAGTTACATTGTAACCTTTTGTTTAAGGCTCTTAATACTCACCAATACATTTCAATTGATAGTTGGAATCGTTTCTTTCAATTAAACTTGTATAACCAGACAAACATTGACAGTAATACCAACCAGGTTTGTTAATACATTCAGAGTTCACTGGACAATGATGAATATTCAATGAACACTCATCAATATCTGAAAAAAATGATAATGGAAAGGACATTATGAGAGGACTGAAGACTTAACGATAAAAAACTTGATGTAAAAAGCATAAATCGAAGCAAAGACAAACCTTTTTCACAATAATTTCCATAAAATCCTCTTCTACATGAACATTTATCTGGTCCAATACATTTACCTCCATTGGCACATTTTTTATTGCAAATTGCTATAAAATTCAAATCATTAATGTTAATATTACATTGAACGGATACCAACTTCGGAAAAGGACTTACGATTACAATGAGTTCCATTTCCAGTATATCCTGGTAAACATTTACAATAATAACTTCCTTCAGTATTTATACAGGCTGCATTTTCATTGCATTTATGATTCCCACCAGATTCACATTCATTTATATCTATTATTAAAATAAAAATAAAAGTAAAAGTAAAAATTGAAATTAAAATAATGAACAAAGTCAATAATAAAATAAATTTACCGATGCAATTGAGTGAGTCTCTTCTCTTAAATCCAGGTAAACATTGACAATAATAAGATCCATTTGTATTAACACACTTTGAATTATCTCGACATAAATGACCATTGATACCACCAAGTTCAAGGCATTCATTAACATCATGACAATCTTTACCATTTCCCCAAAAACCTGATTTACATTTACATGTATATTCAGTCTTTAAATTGTGACAACTTGCATTTGGATGACAATCATGTCCTTGGCCACAAAAATCATAATCTTATAATGAAAAGAAAAAGTTATGGAAGATGAAAAATTAGATGAAATGAATTGATAAACTTTCAGAAAAATATTCAGATCAAAGTAAAACTAAACTAAACTTACCTAAACAATATTTACAACATTCACCATCTTTTTTAAATTGTTTATCAACTGGACAATTCAATGGTGGACAATAAGTCGATGGATTAATCCTTTTGCATCTTAATGATCCACTTTCACAAACACATTTAACACAATCTTTAATATAAACATCACCATGTTCAATGTATTTACCATCCTTTAAGCACTTCTTATGACAAACTGGACAACAATCTTTATCATTTAAATAATACGATGATTTACAATTGAGTGATGGACACTTGACTCGCTTACAATCAATTGAACCATTTATACATTTACATGTATCACAATTGA